GGTGGGTCCCAGGCAGGGAGTGGGACACTCGAGTTTAGGAAATAAGGAGTTTGGAGGGCTTTGGGGCTGATTTATATTAAGAGATTGGGAGAGAGAGCGGAGAGAGGAGAGAGACCTCCCTCGCATTACCTACTCTAGGGAAAAAGCAGGAAAACCAACACATTTAGCGCCATTAACTCTTAAGGTCTCCGCATTTCCTTCAGGATAAGAGCGGGTCACCGTCTCTGAGGCTGTGCAGGGGCTGGTTAATGGCTCCCGCGTGCAAGCTCGACATGGGTGGGAGCACAGGTTTCAGTGGCAATCGAATTCTTTAAGATCTGCTGTAGAGGAAAACCTAAAACTCTGGTCTTCAAGTTGGGAAAAGTCGGCGCCCTGGACAGCGCAGAGGGATCCTCGGAGGCTGGCGCGGGAGGCTTCCCGGGCCCGAAGCCGCAGCGGGTTCACGCGCAGGTCGGTGGCGGCCGCGGCGCCTTTACGTAGTCCGGGCATTAGGACAGCAGCGGCTGCAGAGGTGGAGGTTCCCTTGGGATTCTAAGATGAGTTTTGTCGTTACTAGCCAGGAAGGACTTGCCAGGCCGGCTAGAGGAGTGGGCTAACCCCCGCCTGGGTGCGCTGTTGGAGCCGCCGCTTTGTGTCCCTGAGAGTGCCTGGGGGACGTGGCCCCAACGCCAATGGCAAGTGTGAGTCCCTGCTAGTCCCAGAGAGAACTCAGGGTCTGATATCCTGGGACATCAGCTCCTGGCCTCTGAGGAGGCTCTCCAGGCGGCCTCCGCCTCCCACTCCTGCTTAGGGTAGACGGACTATTTGGGAGGAGCAGGGCACCGGTTTAGTGTGTCTGGCGACAGGAATAATGTGACATTCTGCTGCATTTGTCAGCTGGTTCCAGGGCAGGCCTGCCCGCCGGCCCGGCCGGGAGCCGGTTCTCAGAGCGGCAGGAAAAGGCCTCTGAGCTCCCCTGCAGCGGCGCGCTCCCTGCGCTGCCGGGGAGAAGTGGCCCAACAGGAAAACCGCTCCAGAAGGCCCTTCCTCGCCATAAAAAGCCAGACTCCAGCTGAGGTCTTGACCCCTTCCAAATATACATTCCCTCGCCTGCGGCCGCCACTCCAGCCCAGCCACGGGCTGCGCCGCTTCCTTTCAGGCCAGCCGGGCCGGTGCCTCCCCCGGAGCAGCGGGAGCCGATGGGGCCCCGATTTAGTGGCCTTCCGGGATTCTCCAGCCCGCGGGCTCTGGTGGTTTTTGGCCTGGGGACTGCGCGACGGTGCTTGCGTACTTCCAAAGCGCACTGACTTATTAGCAGGGCCAGGGCCGCAAGTGTGCAGCTTTTCTTCTATGGATGACAGGGATCCCTCACCACCTCTTGTCTACCAGGCTCCGGGGCTGGGGAGCTTGAGATCGAGGGCCTCAGGACACTTGCGCAGCCGGGAGCCGCCAGGGCCTCGCTGGTCAACGGGCGGAAAAGGCCAGGGCCTTCCTTCAAGGCCGAAGCCTGGAAACCCAGAGACTTAAAACCTAGCCTGAGATTGCAGGCCTCTTGCATGGGCGCTCTGCAAAATGGTCCCGTAGATACTGGTTGGGCACCCCTGCGGGCACCTTGGCCCCGAAATTCAAAGATCAAAGGGGAATAGAGGTCGGGTGTCCGCTGTGCGTGACCCCTGACCCTGGAGGAAGGGCTGGAGCTGAGCAGTAGGCAGTAGGGTCTGGGGTCAGGTTGCGGTCGTTTGCTGCCAGCATACACTCTGGCCAAGGATGCAAGTGAAGAGGGGGTAGGGCCCTGCCATCCTATTCCTAATGCGGATCTTGGAGAGGTTTTAGGGGTAGAGCCCACTTTCAGTGTGCCTTTCAGGAGCCCGCCGCTCAGGCCTGGGGATGGCGGCGCAGCCGCAGGCCCAGATTCCTGGGTAGCCTTGTAGGACCCGAGAAGGGCTCCAGGTGCAGTGGTGGGCCATAATAGCATATGTGTGCAGGGAGGGAGCAAGGTGGGAGGCCCCACAGAGGAGGCATCTGCCCAACCAACAGCTTGCAGGCCAGGGGCACCACCTTCCTACTTTCAGAAGAGGCTCAACCCCTGTGTTCTTAGCGGACACTGTGGACTATAGAGGGTGGGCCTACTCCCCCTGGTGCCTCAGTAGTCGCCGCTGCTTGTGAAACTTCTCAGCACCCTCAATGATGAATTGCCACCACCCCCAATTTTTGAAGAGGTGCAAGTGACCTGTTGGGACTTACTAATCTACTTGTAAGGCAACCACACAGACACTCTTCATATAGAACCTCAGTGGGAGCTTCCTGCACCTGTGCCCTCTGCTGAGCAAATTGAGGCTGACACACAGGTCCTGGAAAACACATGGTGTGTGAACTTGAACTAGTTGGAGTACACCTTAAAACAGGGACTATGGGGTTGGAATTCCCAAATACAAAGGTGCCTGGGTGCTTTTAAGGATTTTTTTTCTTTTTTGGTGGTTGTAGGACCTAGAAAGTTGTTTGTAAACAATCTAAGGTTATTCTTTAATATTTATTTTTTAGGGCCTCACGTATGCTATGCACTCTACTACTGAGCTACATTTCATGCCCAAAGTTATTATTTTTAAATGAAAATTTAAATATACAGGTTGTATTCACCAGTGGCCCATCAACTAACTGGCTCCCAGGGATGTGGTGGTTCCAGTAGGTAAAGGTGATTAAAGGGGACGAAAAGGCACCCAAAGCAATTTTTGTTCACAGGCTGGCCCTGCCTCTTACCTGGCAGCACAGTCTAGACCTACAATCATGCTTCCTAAGGAGACATTTTGTGCTGTGCTCTTCCACACAGTCAGCCTGTGCCCTGAACAACTGTGGAGGTGTGACAGGTTTGTTATGCTGGACCTAGCTGAGTCCTGTAACTCCTTGAGTCCTGTAACTCCTTAAAGACTAAGAGCAGCAGACACAGCCCAAGAGATGGGCTGGCAGGCAAATCAGATGGAAAGTGAGGCCACTGGAAGTCTCAAGTACCCATGTACCTGTCCTTCCTCTGGCAAACGAACATGGGTCTGACTGCTCTGCTGAGAGTTTAACTTCCTTAGGTTTTACCAAAAAGTCAAGATGGGAGATGTTTTATAATACTTAAACTGAATAGCCAAAGTTTGCAGAACAGGAAAAAAAAAGAGGAACATTTACAGGACACAGATTTACAAAAATCACTGAAATTGAGTTTAAGGTAGAAGAAATCCTTTTAACTAAGAATGGCTACATGAATTTCCCTCAAAGCACAGAAAATATTGAAGCAAATCTGCTGTTTTTCTCCTTTTTAACACACACTGTCAGGAAGCCACAGGAGCATCCCCCATACTGTGACTGAGGAGGCAGGAATAGTGAGAAGGTTGCAATTAAAATACCTTTTCCTTCAAAAACTGATGCTCCTGTTCATTTTGAGAAGTGTAAGTTAACAGTATGGCTCCGCTAGAGTCATTAAACCCCTGCCTAGAATCTTTGCAGGTCTCCCTGAGGAGCTTATTATGGCTTTGGGCTAAAAAGCCACAAAACATTGAATTAATGGGGGCACTGAAGCCAAAGGTCCCTGGAGCACCTCTCCTGTGTGCTAGATGGAGACTCAGGTGGTCAGAGGAGAGGGGGAGTGCCTGTCCAGCAGGGTCAAGGCTAAGGGGCATGGGATTGTTTGTGAGACTTGTTGAGTCCCTGTGTGGCAGTGTTTGCAAGTGTCTGTCAGTGTGTATGAGAGACAGCATGTTTGTGAGTGCATTTGCATTTGTAAGTGGATGTGTGTTTGTGTCCATTTGTGATGTGTGCCTGCCATTGTGTATGCCACCAGCTCTCCTCATTCTGAGGCCCAGCTTCCCAGGGACCATCTGCTTCCAATGAAGCATCCCACTTGGGAGCTGGAGACAGGCTTGTCCTGGGGTGGCTTCTGCTCTGTGGAGGCTGAGGTTGCCCTGGCCAGCATGTTCTCCTGGGACTGGGGCAGCCACACAAAGAGCCCTCTCTCCGCACCAGCCTCTGGAGTCCTGGTCCTCCCCCAGGCCATAAACCTGCCTGTGAAGACATTCAGAAATAGTTCACTCACACTCACACATGAATGTGCTGGAGTTCCATTCGTTGTAAAGTTTTATTTTATTTTGCTTGGAAGGGGAGGGAGGGGGAGAAGAAGAATCTTGACCTAATTTGTTCTAGAGTAAAATACTGTGTACACCTATACACAGATCTTTGCTTGCTGTTGGGGATAGGTGATCTTACCTTTGTGTCAACCTACCTATGGCTGTACACTACACAGCTCAGGAGTGTAGACCTAGGGGCATACCCAGGCCAACTAAACGCTGCACTCAATGAATCCAGATCCTGTGAGCCAAGGCTGGCCTTAAACCTCTTCATTATAACTTCTAATTAATGCTTCAGTACTTGGAGTGCATAGCACAATGCCTGGCATATATTCAGCACTGAATATGAACTGGTTGAACAAATAAATCAACATTAGGTTAAATATATGACCTAGTACTGATGAGAAGAGATTGTAAATAAGCATTGGGTATGTGAGAGATTCTAGACCACCAGGAAAGGGCTGGGAGACCCCTGGGTATCTTTGTCATAGAATGTTCCTCCAGTACTTAGCTTACCTTCAAGTTTCTCCTCCTAACTCCTCTTTTTCTGGAGTTGTCTTCTGACACATGGGAGCTCAGTGGTTCTAGTTACTGTCAGGAAAGACTAGAGGGTGTGTGAAACTTCAGTTCCGTATTGTCCACACCAGAAGGGAGAGAAACGGCCCAGGCTCAGACTTAGCGGGACTATCCCACTCTCTTTTCAGAGGCCTGGGGTCTTCCCAGCAGGAGCTTTCTCCAAAGGGAGCAAGGCCTGAAGAAAGCTATTTCATCAAGGCATGGACTTTGACACTTTTGTTTTGAGGCTCATAAAGCTGCTTTTATAACTTGAGAAAACATCAACAGTAATGCTCTGTTAATGCTAGCTCATAGAAAGATCATTTTTAATAAGAAAAAACAATTTGAAGGCCCCAAAATTTAAGTTGTCTACTGACACAATTTCAAGTAAAATGATTAAGTGATTAAAACATCTTGATTTCACAAAATCATTCAGCGGAGGCTTCGACAAAAGCAAAGCAGCTCGGAATCCGGAGTGCCACGTCCCAGCTGCTACAAACCTCGGCGGCCGACACCGCTGAGGGGACAGTGCAGCAGAGGAAAGGACTGCGGGTACGCTGCCGGATTTCTCTCCTTCCCTAGATCCCCGCAGTGCGCATCTGCGCCGAGGGCTGCCCGTGGGACAACAGGCCGCGGCCGTGCTCAGGCATTGGGGTTGGTCCTCATGAGCTCCACGTCGGCGTGCACCATCTCCCTCACCAGCTCCTGCGACCCGAGACACAGGGTGGGCCATGAGGGAGGAGCATCTGCCACTCTCCCCTGGTGACAACCCTCTTTCGAGCTGCCGAGAGGCCTCCCGCACCCCGCCAGCCACATCCACCCAGCATCTCTCTTCTCTCAGCACCGGTCCTTGGGCACCCAGGCGCCGGGCAGCTTGGGCCCGCAGCGTGGGCCGCCCCGCCCCCTCCCGCCAGGCCGCCTGGCCGCGAGTGGCCGTGCGGGTCCCGGCGTGTGAGACACTTACGTCAAAAGCGACCCGGGGCTTCCAGTTCAGCTTCTGTCTCGCTTTGGTGCAGTCTCCTTGCAGAAAGTCCTGCGGGAAGGAGGGAGGGGCGGGTGAAGCGTGGGCAGGTTCCCCTTTTTCCTGTCTGTGTCCCCGCCGGGCACGTTCAATCACGGTAAATTGTGACTAGATCGCCGTTAAGGGTGCGCTGTACAAACCAGCGAGGCCATGACAACGATCTGTCCCCAGTCCATCCCCCAGCCACATTCCGCCATCCATCCGCCTTTCACTTCGCGTCCCAACGACTCTTAATGGCTTTTTTAAACATTAAGTTGTCAGGGACTGTGCTGCGAGAACTGTTTCGAATTACTGTACTTAGGCAGGAGAAGTGAGTAAATCTTCCCGCGTCCCGTCCCCGCCCCGCGCCCAGGGACATGTTGGGCTCCCGCTGCAGGGCGGGCACGCACTGGGCACCCGACTTCCAATGTCCTCCTACCCAAAGGCACAAGCCAAGCGGGGGGCGGGACTCCAGTGTGGAGGCGCGGGGTCCTGGGACCTGGGACTAAGCTCTAGGCCCGGGGCGGGGTGCAGCCGCGCGCAGTTCTTCCCGGGCGGCGGCTGCGCGAGCTTTTCTGACCACAGTGAAGACAGTTCACATTGCCTGCGGCACACCCACACGCTTATAAACCGAAACTGAAGTTTTCCGCAGCAATGTTTACCCTTCCATCCAGCCGCACCGTGCAAGTCCATTCCATCCTGCTCTCTATTACTTAGAAAATGCTGGTCTCTGGCCAGTCGCTTCACTTCACGACCCACACGACTTGAAACCAGCAGTTTGCCATCACTGCACTTCGCAGCCCTACAGCTTCATCGGCTGCAGACCCTTCTTGGAGCACCTTTCACCTCCTGATCCTCCCAAAACAGCTCCGTGGAGGGAGGGCCGAGTTAAAGTTCATGGGAACCCCTAACTCCATACAAGAGGCTGAGGCTGCCCGTGTGGTGTGCTTGATACTTGAGTTTCTAACGCGAGCGACAGGGCTTTATCAAAATACGAAAAGGAGGCCAGAGGCTCTGGATCTGCCTGCTCAGCTCTGCTCTTACACCAGGGTTTCAAAAGGAGCGTTCTAGGGAAACAAGGGAAGTTCATTTCCACCCATTTAAGAGACTTCCTTGGAAGGAAGGCTCCTAAAAGAAAACAGGTAGAGAAGAAATACATCCTATGTCTTAGATCTCACTCAGTGGTTTCTTTATTACACGTCTCAGAAGACTGAATTAGATGAAGACAGTGATGAGAATTTGAAGATGGGTTGCAAGAGGGGAGAAAGTTAAGGAGGGAGGGAAGGGAGAAAAGGAGAAAAGAAGAAAAAGACTGAACTACATCATTTTAGAAGGGAGATAAACATTTTAGCTTTTCCATATTCATGTATTCATCAAATGGTACATAAAGTGTAAATCCTCAAAATAAACTGGAGAATGTGAATGTAGTATAAAAAGAGGTGATCTTCTAAAGTGGTAATTACGCCATTTAGATACTCTTAGCAACACACACTATTAAAGAACAACCTAAAACAATTACATCAAGTGAAAGTAACAGATAAGTGAGGCCTCTTCTGCTCATTTGCTTCAGATTCCCCTGAACATAGCAGGCAAGGGCACTTTGATCTAGACTCATGACGGGAAGGTGGAGTACCTGCTTGCCCATTTGGTGCTGACCTTGGCCTCTCAGCCTTCCCCAGCAGAGGCTGCCAGGACTCCACTTTTGCATGTCTGCCCTTCTGCTTTAGCAGAAGACATTCTGCTAGAAACCGTGCTCTAGCGGAGGACATTCAGTGGCTCTCATTCTCAATCATCCATCATTGCTTTTTAGACTTGAATAAATCAAAGTTCCAAAGCTTTGCCTTTCACAATGCAACAAAGTAGCCATTTCCTCCCCAGAGTAAAGCAAGTTATTTCTGATGGCCTAAAAGTCCATTACAGGTTCCTCAGGAAAGGTAGGATACAAAAATTAGCAGTTAGCAATTTAACACAGTGCTATAGGGAGCTGTCAATGTAAGTGGAAAATCAAACCAAGTAATTTATTTCTCTTTTCTTTCCCTAAATAAACTTGTATATACTTAGGCAATGCTTCTCTTTAAGAGTCACACAAAGATACTCATTCTTTTTCCCCAGAGGAAGCTGTGCAATGTGGAGTCATGAAGCAACCCAGCCCGTCCCTTCCCTCCCTCAATCCTATAGCAGCTACATAGCTGAGAGAAACATGGTTATTGTTTAATCACATAACACCAGCTGTAAATCAACCAGCACTGCATAAGATGCAATTCTTGGTTGTGAACTTATAGTTAGCTAACCCCTAAAACCCAGTTTGGCTTCAAATGATCTCAGTAGGTTTGGGAAAGGGAGCTTTGTATTGTAATTATGTTTCCTGTATTTTTCTACAAGTAGCTCATAATATAAAAACAGCCAGGGAACTACAATTAAGGAAAAAGAAAAATGGTTTTCAAAAGCTTAGAAACAGACATTGCTACCATATGCTGTAAAAGTATTTCATTGAAACCAGAGACGGGCCCAGTTAAACTTCCCAATTTAGTTTTGAGCCCAGTTCTTACACTGCAGTCTAGCAGCTTCCTTTAACCTTCTGCCAAGGCTCTGTCTCCCTGAAATTTAATTAGACCAAGAGACCTTGGGAAGGAAGAGGAAGAGGTCCCATCAGAACAAAATAGTGGCTTTCCATGCCAGCTGCCACTGAGCTGACATCTCTGGCATGTGCTCAGGATGGAATCCAGGGCCTTGCACATGCTAGGCAACTGCTCTACCACTGAGCTATACACCAGTCTTCTACCCATCAACTTGTAGGGAAAGATTAAGGTCAGTTCAGCTTGTTTTGTATATAACTGTTCCTGAAGACTTTTTTTTTTTAAACTGTGGATCTATCATGTATAGAAAAGATATAGTCAATGGTTCATTCAGCAAAGTTATAGGCACAGACACACTGAAGGGGTGGTGTGGGGAAGGCCTGTGTGGGAGACGGATGCAGCTCTGGATGGGAGGACAGGTATGGAAATGCTTCTTTGAGCATGGCTTCCTCAGGCCTGTGAGAAATCAGGTTGTGGAAGCTGGGCTTGTGAAAGTCAAGAATGGCTGTACTCACACACAGGATTTTGTGGAGCAAGGCCAAGGGTGGGAGTGTAAGGCTCTTTTTTTATATTTAATTCTTTTAAAAACTTCTGAACCTCTACAGATCCCTTCCACTAGGGCACAGCCAGCTCCTAAGGATAAGCAAAAGGATGAGTTTATGTATTTTGTTCTTTTTGAACAGTTCATTCCTTCTTTATTTGTAGGCTTAAAGCCATCATATGACAATGGGGCAAAAGCTGAGCTAAAGAGAGGGTTTTATGTATAGTTTCTAGAAAGGACCCTGTACAATGGGTGGTCTGGAGCTTTTCTGGAAAAAAAGAGACAATAAAGCTCAGAAAAATGTAAAGCATTTCTATGTGAATATGACATTTCCTGAACTCTGGCTTCTGGTGTCTTCACTGTTTCATTGCTGTTCCTTAGGTGAACTATACGGTTTCAGTATGTCATTTATTGTTGTCAAATTCAATTAGGTTTAACTGGGCATTTTACAGCAGTGAAATAGCACGAGAAAAGGGAGAAAATGTCTCTGTGCAGACACCCATTCCTTTTTCCTCAGACTCCCTGACTACTGCTTATTCATTTGACCTTAGCAGTTGTCCTCCAGCTACAGCATCCGGGCATAAGCTTCAGAGGCTCAGCACCCTCAGCTGGAGCTGCAAACAGCAGCCTGGCAGAGGGCATATTTTGCTGCAGCAATTTTTCAGGCTTTCCTGGCTCATGTTCCTGTTGTAGTGAGCTGATAAAGTGCCAGACCAAATCCTGGAAAAGTCATTAAGCCAGTTCCTGAGCCCACAGTGGTTAACGGAAAACCCAGAGAAGGAGCGCCCACACCATGCCATTATCTTCTCCCTAACTATAGGTCCTTTCCTCAAATCTCTTGGCTCCCTTTTCATCTCTGTCAAGATAACAACACACCTTTAAATTACACTGGTTACTTCTTTTTCCTTCCCCAATCTTATTTTGATTGTTCTTCAACACATTAAATCCCTTTCGTACCTTCTCACCCCCTTTCCCTACAATCATGGTAGGAAATGCTATTAAGTAGACTGTGTCACATAGGATAACTCCAGGTTCACAGTATCATTTCTTTTTCTTTTTTCATTGAGCTTGCTTTGGGATTTTTTAGTATTTAGTTTGAACCAGGTTTCCTCAACAGGTCTGTGAGTAATGTTTGCGAAGAATGTCTGTTGAGGCAGAGAGACATTTTAAGAGTGTAAGATCTCTTGGCAGGATACTGTTAAGTGTCTAATGTACACATTGAAAGAAACTGACTTGGAGTGCTATAAATAAGGAGAAGGTGTATAGACAGGGGATGTTAGTTACAAAGGAAAACCAAGACTGATCGAAACCCTGATTAAGAATCTTTAGGAATTTAAGACATGGAGCTGTGAGTGGTGCAAAAATATTTTTTTCCTCCTTTTTTTTTAGAGAGGCAAATTTGAGGGATAACTCAGGTTCCAAGGGAATAAAAGAATGGCAGTGAATTAAGTCCTTGATCTAACTTTATACTAATGCAGAGTAAGTAGGAAAGCTTTGCTTTTGGGGTAATGCTTCTCTTGGGAAACACTGAACTGCTAAAAACAAAGCAAAGCAAAACAAAACAAAACAAAACAACAAAATCTCAGGAAAAGCTTTGAAGTTATGCTGCATTATCCCAGTCAGGATTCAAGACAGGCCTAGAGCAAGACTGAGGAAAAGCCAAAAGTGAAGTCTGAAAGTTGCCCCAGGAAGTTTGCAATATGCTACCTGTCTCCCAGTATGCAGTTTCAGCTTATACATGCTCATGAATTTTCCCTCAGCTAAATCCTTTCCAAGGAGGGAGAGAATTTCAGAATACTAAGAAATTTAACAGAGGCTGCCGGTGTGAAGAACGATAACGACATCTCCCCTCTCTCTTCCCCTTTACTGCTGTAGATCAGCACAAATTGAAGTGGAAGCCAGGCCTCTCCTTTAAT